TATTTTTTTATTTTGTACAAACAAACAAAAAATATTGAAAAATATAAAAACAATAAAAAATTATACTTCAGATGTTAATTTAGTATCAAAAACGTAAAATATTTGAGTAGCCCGAGAAATAGCCGAAGATTGCAGCGCCACAGCACTAGCAAAATTTAAATTTGCCGACTGGAATGCTTTCGGATAACGGACGTTTCGGATAACCAGCTTTCGGATAAACGACGCTCTACTGTAATAATAATACACTGACCTCCATTTAATCCAAGCCAATTTTTATTTGTTTTGTTACTAAATATTCTACAGAAGCACCAAAAACAAAGCCTAAACTAAAGATTATATTTTAAAAACAAAACAATTTGTAAAATTAATATATACTACACATTTTTACACTAATTTATATACATGGTGGGGCTAAAAAATCAGTGAATAAAAACAGCAAAACAGATGACATATAAAAATTCCTTCAAAGTATTCTCCAAGAAACATAACACTTTTGATAACATTCATAGAGCTTCCAAAAACCATTGGAAAAGTCTTGTTTGGGAACTGTTTTAAGAACTGCTGTCTCACAGCAAAACATGATCCCTTACTGACCTCTGAGATGAGGAAAGAAAAATAAGTCTGCAGGTACAAGATTGCTTTAATCAAAATTTCATGCATCTCTCTCATCGTTTTCCGCAATTTCAAGCAGAATTTTTTGTGTCATTGTTCCATTGTTCTATGATGCCACCTTTCACACAGACTGTGCTTGAATGACTATGGAAAAGCCCACTTGCAGTTATATATATTTCATGCTAGAAGGCACTCCTAGACATGTCCTCTGGATGTTCATGTGCATGCTTGACCTTGTGGCAAGCACTACACTCAAGATAATCTAACATTCATCAAACTTTTTAGACACCACATATATACCTGGTATTGTATCAAAAAAAAAAAAAATTTTAAACATATATAACTGCACTAATCCAAAATTTTCACTAATCTAAATAACCTCATACAAATATACACCCACAACTGCCATAAATGATCGGGCTAAATTTGGATATAATGATTATAAATTAGAAATGAATTTGATTCTAGAGTAAGGCGTTAGGCGCCATCTTGTATTAAAGTTAATAATTATAATATTGAATTAATTAATTTAGGTTAAACTGGAAGAAAATAATCGGCCTGAAGTGGGACTCAAACCCGCAACTCCTGCTTACCATGCAGATGTGTTGCCAGTTACGCTACCTAAATTAATTGATTAAATATTATAATTATTAATTTTAATACAAGATGGTGCCAAACACCTCACTCTAGAGCCAAATTCATTTCTAATTTATAATCATTACATCCAAATTTAGCCCGATCATTTATGGCTGTTGTGGGTGTATATTTGCTTAATATCGGGTTTCGATTGGTATGAATATTTGTAACCACACAATTTGTTCAGATTAGCATCCAAAACTAATTATTATATGAGTGCACTGTATACAATTTATTAATATAAATATATTGTAAAATAAGTGGAAATTTACTTACCATCTAAACCATGAACACAAATTACTAGATGTAAACCTTCAGGACTAAATGCCCGAAGATCATTATCACATTGAAAATAGGGCACTATGGAAGCAGCAGAAGGAAGATCACTGAAAAATAATTTTATTTATTAATAATTCACAAACCTTTATTATTATTATGTTTAAAATCATTCCAAACAACTATTAGGCAATTTTTAACTGCAAAATTTATTTAATGATTTTAGTGTAATTTGTAATATTTTAAAAATTCTTCTGTCTGCACTGATAATATCCTTTCCATCAGTGGCTCATAACTCTCAAATGTATCAAAGTAATATATTATTCAAGTTGTCAGAATTATAAATAACAAAAGTAATGAATTAAAACTATTATTCATATTTATAAAATATTTATTTTGATTTCTTTATTTCAATTTTTCTTTATTAAATGTAAACAGTTAATTGATGTAGAAATTCTATATAACTTATAAAACAATATAACTGAGAGATGACAGTTAATATCTGCATTTAAATTATTAAAAACAAATATCAAAATTCTATATTATTTGAATAAATTTGACATTTTTTAACTTTCCTATAACAAATCATCAGACAAAAAACAGTAAAACACATGAGTAATCTTTTATTAAACAAACAAAATTTTAACAGAATTCTCTCTGTCATTTCAAGGAAAAGCCTAATAATTATTATTCCAACTTCTATTAGAGGTGAGTCAAAATTGCTAGAAATTCAAATTAATAAAATTCTTTTACGTCAAACAGATTTAAACTATTTAAATTCAATTTTTTCAAGATTTATACACAAAAACATTTTCTCAAGTTAATTGAAAATTTCCACATGGTTATATTACAGTTTTGAATATGAAATGATATATATGCTATTATAACACAAATAAACTAAACAAAAATCACATAAATATAATAGCAAGATTAATTTTTGAATCACATTTTTCATTTACTTCATAGACCACCTTAGGATTCTTTAATTCTCAGAATAACAGATTCAAATTAAATCTTTAAAATATTTTGGAGTTAAATGTAAATAAGTAATTCTTCATAATAATTCCATATTACAATACTAAAATAAGTTTTCAAAGAGTCCAACAGATTGTTTTTATTTCAGAACAAGCAATTATTTATTGTGACATTGTCACGATGCCAGGCTGCAATTTTAAATCATACTTTTAATTTATTTAATTTAAAATATATGCTCTCCACCACAAATTAGTAGTGTCTTGCCCCTGTACATCATATTTTTCTGTTAACAATGGAGTCATGCCAGTCATCATCTAACTCCTTTTAGAGAAATTTTTGAATTGAAATAATGCAATATTCAGTTTGCATCAAATGTTCGTATATAGTTAATTGGGGTCTCCTGCTCTAAGCTTTCTATATCTGGTCTTGACTTTCATGTATCTAATTGCATTCTCAAGATTAAGGAAAGACAGATGGAAAGACAACAGTGGAAATTTATAGGTTTACAGTTTTTTTTCAAATTTTAGCCCAATTAAAAATTTTTTCAGAATATTAGCTCCCAGAATCAGATTCCATTGTTATACAAATTAGAACAGGAATTTCAGGACAGCTTTTTGGAATAAATTTTTGTTTTTAAAGGATTTGAATATATGTTTGATAGTTAAAACAGTTCATCTAGTTAAATCAGATAAAATAAGCAATATATTTCAAAATTAAAACATAAAATTATTTTAAAAACAAAAAAGAATAATTACAGAGTGTCTGGACTGAGACTGATAGATTTAAAATTCAATGCATAAGGATAAATGCATTTAATGTGTTGTACGAGGAGGAGTAATTGTGAAAGTTTTTTATAGAATTAATTGACACACACAGCGTAATTAGCTGTGGCATTCCATGGTCCCCAAGAAGAAAATACATATTTATTAAATTAAAATTAAACATAAAAACATTATAAAATTTAAATCTATTTGTGAAATCTGAAATTTTATTAAAAATGGAATGAAAACATTGTAAAATGATATTAAAACTTAGGATAATGAGAATTTGATTAATATTCAGAAAATTTCCTTTACAGATTAAAAAGAAGACGACACAATAAAGTCTGACTAGAAAGATCCAACATTGGCCATTTGGTAAGCTATCTTCACATATTTAATGATCATCATTCGTAATGCATAATTCAATTCAGTTTTCTTTGGATCATCTGAAAGAATTTTTATATTACAAGTAGTGATTTAAAATTTTAAGTTAGTATTTATTGGAAATGGAAGTATAATTTATTGAATTCAAACTAATTTAAAATTTAAATTATCTGCTTTTGAATTAAAGAAAAATTGTTACAATAGAAGTTCATTAATCTGGCATCTATGAGACCTGAGTGGTGTCAGATTAATCAATAATGCAAGATTACAAGACTTTTTTGTAATTTTGTAAAGTTTGGTAAATTATATGTAATCTGGACATTGCATCACTGCTGTGCATTCTGTACTAGTGCATACAGTTGTATACTTCTGATTTGTTTAAGCATACTCTTTGCATCAGTCTGAAAATGATACAGTGCATCACTATACTGTGTTAAGATTGAAGAAAAAGCTGCAAAAACATTAATGAACATGTCATTGCACAAAATCAACATTCACAATGGTCACATACTGTATATATAATATTTCATTTCAAACATGTACTGTATTTATGTCTGGGCCTCTAGTGTACTATATGTCCAAACAAATTCTGATTTTCAGAATATTAATATGTTAGATCATCATCAGACAATTTCAAACATCGTCTATTTTTCAGAGAGTGCCAGATAACAAACATTCCAGATTATTGGGTGTGGGATTAATGAGCTTTTACCTTTACCCCTTTTACTTAGTTTTTTATATAAACATTGTTATTCCAGCAGTCACAAGTAAATATTATTTCAGTATTATTAATAATTGTACAAAGATAAGGACTGAAGAAGGGAAATAGCCCTCTTTTGTACAAAAATAATATGTTGTACAAAATAAAGTCTACTTTATCCATCAAGTGAGTTCCTGTATGATAAGTTGCACACTGCAATTTTGTGATTTTTCCCAGAGCTTCTAATGTATATTAACACAGAATTATGTAGAATGTATAAATAAATCATTAATGAGAATTTATTCAAATGTAATTTCAATTCAGATGAAATTATGTAAAAGTTATTAAAAAATTATTATATAGTTAAAGTAGAGTTCCTATTAACCAAACCCACTTAATCGAGGTTTTGCATTTCCTAGATAAACTTTGGCAAAATAAAGACAAGAAAGAATATAATACAGTTAGATTTCATAAATCTTGGGCATGCAATGTACATACTCAAAGAATACATAATTTTATGCAATTTTATGCAATTTTAAGAATACATAATTTTATGCATAATTTTATGCAATTTTAATTTTATGTACTGTATGCAAAAAGGCTCTACAAATTTTATAAAGAATTTAGTCCAGTGAATTTCTGTAACAGCAGCAAATTTTAAAAATTTTAATCATAAGCATAGATTTATATTTGCTTTAAAAGCCAATCATAAATAAAATTAAAGGTATTTTATTGTACAATTTAATTTTAACAAAACCATTATATTCAATAAGCAGATTAACTAAAAATAGAATATATTTGTATGTAAAATATGGTTTATGTGTATATATAGATTATATATATGTATGCAGATTTGGTTTCCAAATCCAGTTTATTTAACATTGTGATAGGTTTTGTTCTGAAGCATCCTCAATACACATTATCTACGATTATCAGGATTTTACTGTATAATTAATTTTCATAAAGTTTACAAAAAACAACAGTTATATATTTACCTATACCAAAACCACGAATATCCTAATTGCTGCCTGAATTCTTCTTTTGCTTTCACAAAACTGTAAGTTAAAATTTCATAAATTAAATTTCAAATCTTTGCTTATAAAAATAATACAAAAATCATAATAATACATAAGTTTGCACAATATATATTTTCATTAATACTTTATTTACGTAAGCTGATTTTTAATGCTTTCCTATCTGCAGAGAAATTATTTTTTTGAACATCATTTTATTTATGATCATAACTTCATTAGTTCCACACTATTAAAAGTATACATATATATAATCAATATTCCATATACACACAAAATATTTTTATTCCAAAATTTTATGATTAATATATTTACAAGCATATTTCTAAATATGATTTTGTAATCAGAATATTTTGTAAAATTTGATACTTTAATACAAATTATCTTTAGCAAAAATATCAAAAAAATAAGTTAAATGTTTTTTAGTGGTGTGACAAAAACATTATTCATTACAAAATATATATAAAGAGCAAAATTTTTATCTTTAATTAATGCTTTAAAATTATATTATTTTTAAAATGTTATTTCTCATTGAAATATTAACAAGAAGAAGAAAACAATAAATTCACTAACATATTATAGTTCATGCATAAATAATTTTTCAAAATAAATTTTGTTTTTACTCTTTCAACTTACAGATACAGAGGTTTTTTTTTAACATACTTATTATGGATTTAGCTAGGCTTGCAATGGGCTAGTTGAATGATAAGGGGTAGAGAGGTATGTCATGCCCTATATCACCCAAGAAAAATTCCTGACAATTGAACTTGGACTTAAATTTGGATTCTCTAGAGTAGCAAGCATGTATCTTAACTGCTTCAGCCATTAGAATATTATATTAAATTCTACATAATTTAATACAATAAGATGAATTTAAAACATAAAAAATAATGAGTTTTATATCTGCTTTATTCACATGCAACTATAAATAAGATTATCTCTCATTAAGTGATGATAATATTAAATTTTAGTTTAGAGTTTTTCACATTTAAATATAATATTCTAAATACAAAAACCCACAACTCCTATATCAAGGAGGCCTATTGAGTAGTGACAAGATAATTCAAGCTTTCACTCATCAGAACACATTTTTTGGAAAAGGTCTGTTAGCGAGTCATTCTGGACAAGTTGTGACAGGTATGCCAACCAAGGTGGAGCTACAATTCAGCTCTGGATTAGTCAGCCAACAGATCTAGAACTTAGAATAAGGCAACATGACTGAGGGAACCAAGAGAAAAACAAGCCTGGCCTAAGACTGTTATTAGAAGCAAGCTGTATATATATTATAAATAGTTGTCAAATGAACAGACTTAATCTGAGTTCAAAGAGTCATAAGGGATTCTTTCTGACAGACCACAAATCCAGAAAGCAGAAGGCATGATCTGAAATTTACTTCCTGCTTACTGCACAATAAGTGAGAGTTGCAGGTTTAAGAGTCCTATTCTGAGCTGATTCTTTTCTTCCAGAACTTTCGAAATTATTTAATTTAATTATAATTATTAAAATTAATGAGAGATGGTATCTAATGCCTCCCTCTAGTGATAAATTTAGAAATTAATTAAATATAATCATGAATAAATGTATGGCTTATCACTTTTCATTATTTTTAATGGGGGAAAACTGATTTACACTTTGAACAATTTAGAGTTTGAATAACCTCATGGAACAATTAAGTTTTATAAAACTACTTCATACTTTGCATTTAATTCTAGTTCATAAAATTTTTACCAAAAAGGTTAACTTAAACCTATCCTATCAAATGAAAAACACTTTATGTATATCTGTATGAACTGTAGGTTATTGTTATTGATGTACTATTTTCCATCTCAAGTTATTATTGAAACATAACTTTGCATTTTAAAATATTAATAAGAACAAGTAAAGGCAATATTGTAACAATTATTTATCAGTATAATGCTTCCTACATGATGTAAAGAATACAGAAACTTAAGAATTAGTAGTAATTTAACTTGAGAATTTTTAATTGGAAGAACAATTTTATAACTAACTTATACAGCAGAGGAAAATCTGACTTTTGTAACTACTTAATTAAGATAATGGAAACAATATAAATATACATATGTCTATTTTAGATAAAATCTAGTGTATAAAACTTTAAACAGTTAATTATATTTCTATAATTAAACAATTTTGATTACTGGTGATATAATTTAATGATTTATAATATTAAGATTTTTGTAACTTACAAACTAACAATTTAATACCCTCTATAACAGGAGAAATCCTAATATGAAATAAAGATTTCATGGTATGATCAGGAATAAAACTTATTTTAAATTAGATAATATTTTTATTGAAGAGTGGGTTTATTAAAATAAAAACTGTAATGTTTAATTTTTATTTTATTAAGATATAATAAATTTAACTATGCAATTTTGTATAACTATTATATATGGCATATGCTTTGGTAAATTAAATTGTCATAAATTTTCATCTGCTAACATTGGATGAGATAGATTAACAATGATATATGCTACAGTAAAGATATCTTCAGTCTTTGAACAAGTGTAATTGGTAAAGATTTTTGAAAAACCTCGAATATTTTTATTCTTTACATTAATCTTTCAATGTGAACTCCTGCTTTTGCAATGTCAACATTAGTCCTAATTGCAGCTTATGAAAACTGATCTTTCTTTCTTAAAAGACTGATTGAAGGAGTTTTATAATATAAGAACTTGTCATATCATCAACATGAATACCTTTATCCACTAAGATGGTATCTATAAAAACTTCTATGTTTATAAGACCACTTTGTTCAAATATTACCTTATCCAATACTCTTCACCCATATGTATGACTCATAAATGTTATTAAACCAATTGGACTAACACCTGTCAAAAATTATATTGTTTTCCTTTAATAAGAATATGTTTCTATTTTACAGCATAAATGTTTTGTTTTCTAAACAGTAAACTCTGAACAAGTCTAAAATCACTCTAATATTTGGAAAGTTTCAAGGCACTTTGGCAAATTGCTTTGGCACTCTTCTGGTCATATAATTATAGATTTTAAAACAACAGCTAATTAACTGATTTTTCGTTTTCGAATGTTATTTAAAAATCCGCTTGCAATCAATCCACAACTACCAGCCGCTCTGGAGCAAAACAAAATTAATGAAATGCTGCAACAAACATAAAGAGATACAGTGGTGCCTCGTACAACGTACTTAATCCGTTCCAGGTGCACACGTCCGTTATACGAAACGCATTTTTCCATAGAAATACATGTTAAAACATATAATTCGTTCCGCAGCATAAAATAACTGTACTGTACCATAAAAAATGAAAATGGAGCAGTCACCAATTATGCCAAGTAGTCAGATGATGTGAGGAGGAGGCGGAGAAACACTTTAATCACACATTCATACAGACACACACTTTTACATATTGCAGCAGATCTCTTTTTATTGTTTTTTAATCGGAGTCAGAGTCAGGAGAGGCTACTGGGGCTTGCAGGGTCAACTCCTCTTGTTCCATCCTTTGTTTTTTGGCAGCTGGCTTCTTGAAAAACATATCCAAGGTGGTCTGTTTCTCTCTCTTCTTCAACACATGTCGGAAATGACGGGCAAGAGTGTCATTGTAGAGATCGTTGATACTGTTGGTCTCAGCTATGTTTGGATAGTGAGTGTTGGTGAACTCCTGAACCTCTCCCCATTTGACAAGAAAGTTTCTGTCAACTTTCATTCCTTCTGATGATTTCTTTGCCTTGTTTCAATTGAAATCACCTTTCTGTTTTTTTAGAAGCCATGATTTGCACAACACTTGAATAAATGTAAATACCCTGCACTGAGGTGATGTATGTAATAAACAACGGAGCAAGCTGAATCCCAACGGAA